ACCATAATGCTTTTGATAAAGGGGTCATTGGGTCCTTTGGAAGAAATGCACTCATATACTACTAAACATATATAATGCTATTGTTTCTCCCATCCATCCCTCAAAACAACTTCGATCAAGGTAACCATCCTTTGAGGAAATGGGAATAATTATAGATTATAGATACAGGAAACTGATTCTAAGATAACACTGATTCCAAGATACCCAAAAGATTACCATGGCTCCCCAATAAGAAGCCTTTGGAGGCCAGATAATTAATGGGCTTTACCCAATATCTGATTCACAGTGAGACCAGTAGGCTTGGAAACCCTTCCCATGTTCTTCCTCATTCTATAATGCATAAAAGTTTAAATATGCTTAGTACTTAGAATATCTCCACATTGGTTCTCTAAACTGTAGTTTGAGGGATATTGTGGTGGGAAAGACAAACTTAAAAGTAAAAGAGTTGCCTCTACTTGGGAAAATAGTAAATCAAAGCAATACTACATTGCTTGAGAGATTGCAGAAGTTAATGATAGTATCAAGGACTTGCAGAATGCTGGGATGTTATACAATACACCCACATTTATCTCTCCTATTTGACCTGTGCATATGATGGATTTATCTTGGAGAATGATGGTGGATCATTGTAAAATTAATCAAAAGGCTAGTCTAACTACAGCTCTGTACTGGATATGGTTTCTTTTCTAAAGCAGGCATATATATATTCTGGTACTTGGTTTAAAGTAAATAGTTTTTTCTCCACAACTATCCATAAATCCCAAAAGAAGAAATTTGCTTTCTACTGCAAATATCAACACACTTTTGATATCTTGCCTCCAGGAGCATATCAGTTATCCAGTCTTTTGTCACATCTTAGAGAGTTCTTCATTGCCTTTCTCTCCCATGAAATATCATACTGGTAAATGTAAATGTTCCTTGATGACATGATGGTGCTTGGGCAAAGTGAGCAAAAGAAGAGCTTACCATAAAGCATATGTATGTCAAAGCTGAGAAATAAATCCACCTAAATTTCCATTTATCTCAGTGAAATTTTAAGAAGTCATGTGGTATTAGAGAGGATATGATGTTGCATCTGGCACCTTCCACAACAAAGAAAGAGATCCACTTGTGTCAGTGTTTGGATATTGGAAGCAGTACATTTATTACTTGAATGTGTTATTCTAGCCCATTTACCAAATGACTAAGATGGCTTCTTGTTTTCTGTGGGGCTGAAAACAAAAGAATTCTCTGCAGTACAGTCAGGCTGCTATGAAGGATTCTCTGATAATTGAAATAAATAATCAAGCAGATATAGTAGTATTTGAGGTAATAATGACAGATAAAGATGCTATTTAGAGTCTCATGTATACTTCCTTATTGTATCACAGTGGAGGCCTGTTGGATTTTGGAGAAAGGCTCTGTTACCATGTGCAGGTAACTACTTTACCTTTGACATACAGCTCCTGACTTGCAACTGAGACTTGATAGAAATGGAACAGACCACTGTGGAATAGGTTGCTTTGCAAACTGAGCTGTCCATTATGAATGGGGTGCAATCTAACCACAACGTAAACTTAGACCTGCACAGCCAGAGCCCATCATTCAATGAACTGGTATATATTTCCTCATGTCTGCATAAATCTGGAAGCTGCAAGAAAGTTACAAGAAGCTTTCCACATGCCCTTTGTTCATAATCCTGCTACATTTCCTTGTGCCCTGCCATCTGCACTTCTTGGGGTGTATTCTATGATCATTTGCTAGGAAGAGAAGACTGGGTCCTGACTTACCCGTGATTCCACACATCATAGAGGAACCACCTAATGTATTCATTTTCAGCACCACAGGCCCATTCTAGAACAACCTGGAGAGACAATGCTGAAAGAAAATCTTCATAGTGGGCAGAACTTTGGGAATTTCACCTGGCCATTTATTTTCCTTGGAAGAAAAAAAAAATGGTCAAGTGGAGATATACATATCAATGATGTAGTCAGCCTATGATTTGGCCAGATAGTCAGGATCTCAGTCTTGGATGCAGGCTCTGACCTCTACACAGTAGATATGATCCTCCTTAATTACAGCTCATTCTGAGGTAGCTAAAGCACTGGTTTTAAAAACTAAAAGAAAGAAAAATCAGTGTATGTTGCTATTACATATTGATCCCATGGACAAAATGAAGGCATTCCTCATAATATATCATCAAGACAATGAGAATTTAAGTTGATGCAAGTTCTTGTTCTTTGGAATATTGTATGGTGGCATTCAATAAATGTAACCGTATCTATTCCCTAAGACATAAATATTGCATTGCTATATGTGCACAGTTTTGTACTGAAAAACATGTATGACAATACTCCTCAGAGTGCTACTGAGAAAATATTCTGGCTCAAGCCAGGCACTGTGATGCACATTTTTAATTGTAACTCATGGAAGGCTAAAGGAGATTGATCAGCAGTTTGAGGCCAGCCTTGCCTACATAGTGAGTTTCATGCTAACCCTGACTACATAGCACAATCTCAACTCAGAAAACCAAACAATAAATATCCCTACTACAAACAACCCAACATCCAAACAATTAAATGAATCAATTTTACATATTCACACAGGAGGAATGGATAAATTAGTAGATGAAGTAAACTCTTGCTACATGGGATAGTCTGTGGAATCCCATGAATATAATGCTGAGTAGAACAATTTGGACATAAATAGGTGCATATGATATATCATACAAAAATTCCTATTTGTCTGCAAATATGCAATGAATCACAGAGCTTTGTCCTTTAAATTGGCCAGTGTTGCAACAGGTAACATATCCTAATAAGAGCATTTTAAAATCTTGACTTTTGAGTACTTACATTCTGGTGGCAGAAATCAGAGAACCGGTGACTAACATGCATCACTTAGGAGTGAGCAATGGGTGCTGATGATGCTTTTGTTCTTTTAAAAAATAATTTTATTGGTACATTTTAGGTATGCAATATAATTACATTCATCATTGGAAATTATACCTTTACATAATCCATGGTGGTTCTTATTTTCCCCATTCCCCTGACCTCCCTTCAACTCCTCCAACTCTCCCTGTCTACAAAGACTTTGTTTCTATTTTTTCTTTTTCTCATATTAATTCCATTCCCTACTTTCTTTTCCCCATCCCTCCCACTTTCCTTCTGTCTATTTCACATTATCTAGTTTACATTATAGTCCTTATTTATATGATGATTCTGTTCTTTACCAATGTGTGCAGTTCTACACACATGGTCTTTCATGTGCTCTACTCCGTCAAACCTTATAGAGCTATACTGTTCTGTACATACAGTATATTAAGGTAAAAAGCAATGCATCTCAAAATATCACAGAATTTCAAGGAAAATTTAACCATTCAGGATTCTGGTAGGATGATTCATCACAGACTACTATTCCCATCATCGTCATCATCATCATGATCATCATCATCATTTTAGTACCTGGATGAAACCAGGGTACTGCACATGCCAGACAAGTGTTTTACTACTCAGCCACATCCCCAGTCCAATTACAGATCCCCTTATCAAGAAACACATTTGTAATAATTGGCAATGTGAATAGGAAGAAAAGGACTAAAAGTGTAGGGAAAGTAGGAAGGTTAGGAGAAAGGTAATAAGGGAAAGAAAAAATAGGAGAAAATGGATATAAAATGTTTGTAAATGGAGAGGGGAGGAGGAGGTGAAGGGAGGGCAGGGACAAGGGGAAAAAATGAAAACCAAGACCTGTCATGTAAAGGTACAAGATCCCAATGATGAATGCAACTGTACTGTATACCTAAAATGTAACAATAAACTCAATGAGAGGAAAAAAAAAATAAACATAATATTTGTAACATCAGGAGACATAATATTTATAAATACCTGGGACAGTTGTAAGCAAAATTTAAGCATTGTCTAAGAAGAACACATAAATAAATGTATCAAATTATTTTCATATATTTTGCAATATATAGTTATTTATAGACGACATGAAAAAGTGGATGCAGAAATTGTAGAAATGGGATGGTAATTAGAGTAAAGAAGGTCAAGATTTGATACTTGTATGTAGGAGTTGAAGGTATATGTATTCCAATGTTATACCAGTAAAAATTTTTAAATGTTTATTTACTATATGACACACTGGTTCATAATTTCATTTCAGTGGAAAAAAGGATCAAACACTCTCCCACAAAAAGTATACACATGCGAGTATACACAAACACAGACAAGCAAACACATATTCATGACATGGTAATTTAAAAATTTTATTTATTTTTCATGAAAAGCAAACCACACAGATATTTAAAGTATTTTCATTTAGCATCAAATTGTCACATGGCTTCTTATAGGTGAAGAAACATAAGAGATACCTGAGGAAAGCATTTGATAATTTGTGGCATTTGCATGTTAACATATGCTTCTAGTTTCAAGTTGCCCCTCAACAGAATAGAAGCCTGTGAGGAAAAGACATTGTTGTGAACCACCTGGCAAATCTCCAGACAGGGGGAGAAGTTACAACAGGTCTTTGGGTAAGAAGAATTCTGAAAAACTATATGGCACTATCAATAGTTTGAGGATTCTTCTTTATCCATATTGAAACACTTGTTTAGCTCCCACTTTTGTCCCATGGTCTTGCTGTCACTAACATTCTCCTGAGAAGCAGCCCCTCATTACTACAGAAAAAGTCAAATGCTCATTGTTTGCTCCAATGCTCCAGGAAATCTAGATCAGTAATTTAACATGAATTTTCACAAGTTACAGTGATACAGAACAATAAAGTCAGTTTTCAAATATAAGTTGAAATATACTTCATCATTATGACATCTATCATTTTTTTTGTACAAGGTGCCGAACTCAGGACCTTGCACTTCCAAGGCAGGTGGCAGAACCACTGAGTCAAATTCTCAGCCTACAATTATGTCATCTATACTTTGAGTCCTATGGACTTAGGTGTGGAAGTGTCTATTACATTGGCTTACTCAGAGCACCTGTATTTTCATTCTTTCTGGGAGTTCAAGTTCAAAGCAAATGAGACAATCTCACGAAAGGATATGGTCTGATGATTTTCTTCAAGGCTTCTTTCACGTCTCTGTTCCTCAGGCTGTAGAGAAATGGATTCATAAGTGGAGGGACCACCGTGTACATCAAGGAAGCAATTGCAGAACTGCTAGATGAACTTGTGAATTCAGAGCTAGCATATACCCCAAAACCTGCCCCATAGAACAAAGAGACGATTGAGAGATGTGATCCACAGGTAGAAAAGGCTTTCTGCTTTGCCTTAGCTGAAGACATTCTAAGGATGGATGAGAAGATTTTAACATAAGAGAAAATAATCCCAATGAGACAAACAATACCCAATATGCCAGTCACCATATACACCAAAATGGTATTGATGAAAGTGTCAGAACAAGCAAGTTTTATGAGCTGGGCAAGTTCACAGAAGAAGTGTGGGATTGTCAGGTCTGTGCAGAAGGACAGTTGCAGCACCATCAGACTGTGAGGCAATGCATCCACAATGCTGATGGAAACAGACAGTACAATCAGTAGGACGCACAGATGGGGACTCAGAATGACTGTGTACCTAAGGGGATTGCAGATAGCCACATAATGGTCATAGGCCATAACTGCAAGAAGAAAGTTTTCCATTCCACCAAAAGTCAGGGCAAAGGAAATCTGGCTGAGGCAGCCTGTGTAACTGATGGTATGACACTGTCTCTGGATGTCCACAAGCATCTTTGGTACCATTGTGGAAGAGAAACAGATGTCAGTGAATGACAGGTTGGATAGGAAGAAGTACATTGGGGTGTGGAGGTGGGAGTCAGAGCTGACAGTCAGGATGATGAGCAGGTTCCCAAGCACTGTGACCAGGTACACAGACAGGAACAGTCCAAAGAGGAGGGGTTGCACGTCTGGATCCTCTGAGAGACCCATAAGTAGAAATTCTCCTACCCTTGTGTGGTTTTCTGATTCCATGTTTTTGAAGAAGCTGACTGGGAAACACAGGGCATGAAACAAAGACCATATCCTTCCTTTTAGAAAACGCAAGTATATTGTAAAGTGAAGTAAATATTTCTAATATTTCCACATTCTTCCACTGTATTTCCCTGACTATACAAATTACACTTACTAAAACCCTTGAACCAACTGAAAAAGTCAAATATGAAACAGTATATATGGCTTTTCATTGTAGTATTTGCCAGACAAGAAAACTGAATGCAAACTGTACTAAATCTAATTCAACAATAACTACTTCAACCTATATTTAAAATTGCTCTAGTGCGTGCACTGTAAATGAGAAAAATTTTAAACTGTTAAAGAAGCCAGAGTGTCCTCACTTTTATAACTGGGAAACCATTGGAGAATGCTGTGGGCATGTTGCAGAGATAAGAATGAGAACACAACTTATTTGCTAACAGAAGGGAAGCAATGTGAAGGAGAAAATCCAGAAAGCAGAGGCACATAGATTACCTTTTAAGAAAAACCTTTTGTTTGAAGACCACACATTTGAGAAGAGAATCCGGGTACTGAAACTCCCACTGAAAATCTTGCATATATAAAGAAGCAAGAAAAGTGAACAACTTAATGAACAACAATGATATCCATCCACATTTATATGTGCATTCAATAAATTGTCTAACAACTAGTATAAGTAAAGCAGACATAAGGGCTGGGATGTAGTTCAGTGAAGCCACATCTCCTGGCATGCTCAGGTTCTCAGTTCGATCCCTGGCACTGAAAAAAAAAAAAAAAAAAAAAAAAAGAAAGAGAAAGAGAAAAAAGAGCAGACAGAAAGATATAAGAGAAATAGCCACAAAAGTAATAAAAATATTAAAAAATAATTTAATAACAAGACATATAGAGCATGTTAAAATATAAATTCTTTGAAATATCACAGATGTTAAATTATTAATTTCTTATAAAATAATTCAAGTATTCACAAAGGACATCAAAAGCAATAGTGAATTCAGTGTGCATCATGCACCATTAATTGAGATTATATCACCATATTTGCATTATATATTGTTACAGAAATTAGGGAATGCATATTTACACTCATCTATTATTTATTCTATGAGGATAACATTTACCTTCCCCATGGAAACACTAACCACAATGAAGTTGATGTTGATGATCCTTCTATAGTTTCAATACTGTGATTCTACGTATAAATCATGTTCTTCTTTTCATCTTTGTCTTTTCAAAAATTGAATGTGTGATTATGCATATATTAATGGAGTTTAGTATGAAATTTCCATACTTTCATACAGAATGTACTGATCAAAGGTACACAGTGTTCTTCTACCCTTCTCTTTCTAATTTCTCCCAGTAAATACATCTCATTAGTCTACTTTCAGGTAAATGAGTTTTAAAGTTTCAATAGATAATGCAAATCAACTTCATGATTCAAATATCAAAATATTATATATTACACAGGGCATTTTTCATTGGTCAAAAGCAGTATACTTAATCAGGTTTCAGTTTTAGTACTCCTTTTTATGATTCATTAACATTAATGAATTTAATTTATACTAATGTATTACTACATTCCATTATATATCAACACATTATACACACACATATTTGTGGTAGTATACATACTATCATTTGTGTAACCTGTAAAAAATAAAGGGAGGTCTGAAGAATTAAGTTAAATATTTTTGCAAGGAGAAGAAAATGCAGAGGAACGTAACTTCTATGTTTATGCATTTTTTGCTATTTAAATAAAAGTACTCTGAAAACTACCAGCATTGGGTAATTCTAGATGCAAGGATATGTGTTTATTTGTTCTGTTTTTATTTTCTGTGTTTTTCTTCCTTTTAAATTCATACACTGTCATGAAGGGTAAAATACATTGGAATCTGCTTTCCTTTCCACCTACTGTCTTGTGAAATACTGAACCGGTAAAAGTGTCAGCTAAGGATGTGCTGGGTAATGAAACAGGGAAGGGAACAGGAAGAAGAGTTGGAGATGGACCTTTGCACCTCACCAAGAACAGGACAGAGAATTAGAAAATATCTTTCAAGGTGAGCAACAGAAGATTACTGTTAGAATAGAAAACATTCCTGGACCTGAGGTCAGAGTTAGACAAAAGTAGAATGAAAACTACTTCAATGTTGCTGCATAAAAGTGGCAAATATCTGAAGATGATGAAAACTAGGCAGAAGCCACAAAACAGCTCTGCATGAGTTCTTCATGTGTCATCTCCTAGCCCACAATGTGGAGCGATACACAAATGTCTGTCACTATTGACAAAAGGTAAATCAGCAGATTTTACATTACCTGAGTGCCGGCAGAGAGGAAGGACATTCAGATCTTGGCTAGGTGTGATGGAGATAAATGAAAGCTCTGTTCTCTGAGAACACAGGAAGATAGAGAAGCACCTGGCTCCTGTACAGAAATGTTGGCCACTAAGCTAGGTCAGGGCAGCTGCCTCCAGACCTGGGTGAGGCTGTGGGGCAGCCACAGGTAGTCTATTCACTGTTTCTGTGGCCCTTGGGCTTCAATATCCAGAGCTTCTCATTAATCAAAAAATTTAGTCTCATGTGATTATAGGACAGTGCAAATCCACAGGGAGCAAGCCTGAGAGATAAAGAACTTGGCTTTGGTTGATTCTCTCACCTGAAAATCAGTTGCACGTCACCTTCTTCCCTCCCATTTTTCATTTTGGCTCATGAGCATTTCAAGTATCCTGCCCTCCTTAACATATTTTGGTGCTGTTGTTGATTTCTAATGTTCCATAAAACTAGAATTACATACATTTCAAGAAAAGAAAAACAGAAATATTTTAGTACTAAACATTGAGATATCGTGAGATTGATACAAGTTACCTTTGGTCTCCGCAATTACAGGGGGCGATCAAAGTTGTAGTCAGTGGCTTCCAGACATTTATTATCATGTGAAACTGCTGCTTGGGTAACCTTGGTCATTGACATTGCTCAGGTGCAGTTTCAGTTTGTTTTCTAAGGGCCAGTAGTGTAGTGGCTTTTTTGTGACATATGACATTTGCTAGAGTCCTCCATAAGAGGGTTAGACCATCTGTTGAAAAATCATCATCTTTCTTTTCCAGAAATGTGAAAAAAATGTATATATTTCTGGGGGCTTTCTCTGTCTCTTTCACTTTCTGTCCAAATACACACACACATACGTATATATACATATGAATTTCTTCTATACATTTATGTGAAAATATAATCAGTTGGTTTAAAAATGAAAATTCAGAGATCTAATACAACATATGGTTCACTGAACATTAATTTTTCTTATGAATATTAAATATTTCACTTATCTTACTAATATATTGTTACTAAATACTTGATGTAATTCATAGGCATACTGGCAATTTTATTGTTTTAAACAGATTTATTGAAATAAAATTAGCGTACAGGTTGCATAAATATTATCATATGCATATTGAGCTATTTATTTCTATATATATGTATCTATATATAACTGAATATTTACTGCCACATGATCAAAATGTATTTGCAGATTTACCTACATATATGTCTTGATATTTATTTTTCCTATATATACACACACACACACACACACACACACACACACATATTTGTAAACAGATATATTTCAGCATTTTCATAACCAAAACTGAAAATAACATGTATTGCTTGTGAAATTTTTCTTATATCTCTGTAAAACTTTTTTCTAACTTTATTTTTTTAATTATTTTTTAATTGAATTTATTGGAACATTCTAGGTAGACAGTATAGTTTCCTTTATACATTCACTGAGTACACTTGTTTTAAGATTCACCCAATGATGTATCAGTAGTTCACTACTGTTTTTTTTTTACTCTATCGGTACATGTTTATGGTACATAATAATTACATCCATTGTATGCAATTGTTACATATACATATCACACTGAAATTATTATTTTCCCCTTCTCTTTTACCCATCTTTTTTTAGATGCATTAGAATTTGCCAGCATCAAAGACATTTAATCTTATGAGACCTTAGAAAATTAATTAGCATATATACTGATTTAAAACCAGAGTAAGAGGTCAAAAATATATAAAACTCATAAGACAATTATACTTGGGCTATACTTTTAGATACACTGTCCATGCTGTATTTTATTGAAAAATTTTCATTTATTTGGATGTTTTATAACAGGCTTTGCCATTTTCCAGTGGGGAGACAATTGAGTTATTTTCAGTTTTTGGTTACTACCAGTATAACTGTTGTAAACATTTGCATGAACTTCTACCTACAGACATATGCTTTCATTTTCGGTAAGAAAAGTTTTGCTCAGTGAATGAAGGATGGATCATGAATTACATGAATCACCAACTGATCTAAAATGTAATTACAATGTTCTTCAAAGTACTGTTTTTCTTTAAATGTAGTGTTAAAAGTAAATATTGGTCAGCAGTGTACAAGAATTCTAAGCTTAGCTTTTGATTTTGTCCACTTTTTAATTATAGCCTTTAAAATGCACATTAACATTCATTGTGGCTTCAGTATGCATTTTTATTCATTAATTTTATTGATGCATTTTAGTTATATGTTATGACCACGTTGATCATTGGGAATTTATATGTGTGCATGATATATTGTAGACATCAAGAAAAATGATACAATAGCAAAAGGCAATGCCAAGGCCGACATAGAAGCCAAAAAGGCAGCTAAACAGAAACATCAGATGATTATATCCACCCCTTGTAAAGGTTATAAATATGTGTTGGTATGTGTTTTACTTACTCTGTGTGGCTTAAGGCCTTCCATATGGAAACAGAGAAGGCTTCAGGGGTATGCAAGACTTTATTAAATGAGATAATTTCAATGTTTGACCTGCCTCTCTCCATGATCAGTGACAATGGGCCAGCATTTGTAGCAGAGGTTGTACAAGATCTAACTAAACTGTTACATATAAAATGGCACTTACACACTGCTTATTGGTCTCAGAGTTCTGGTAACGTTTAAAAAAATCATACCATTAAGGGAATATTAAC